ACACACAGTTTTCACTTACTTCATTTGTCTCTGTTCTGATTACAAAGTCGATAACATTTCTATATTGCCAGGCATAAATATATAGTCATCTAGAAATATAAGTACAGACACTGTACTTAAATAATGGCAAAATGTTACGTTATTTCATAAACCAAATATCTGAGTAACTAAAAATGTATAAGTAAACTAAATGAAAAGATAATTTCTCATCAGATAACATGGAAAAATAAAAAAGTAAAACTGAAATACATTGGTCCGTGATATATACTTCTGCTAAAATACACAATTTAATTTCACAATTTATCAAAAAAAAATTTTTTAATTGACTCAACAATGCAATTTTTCAGGAATAATGAAACATCTTACTTAGAAAAGTCACTCACCTCTATCAGTCTGTCTCCTGCCTTAAGTCTGCCGTCTTGAATGGCAGCCCCTCGCGGGAGGATGTTTTTCACATAAATTGGAGCTGAGCCACCTATTGTTACATCTCGGGAAGTGATACTGAATCCCAGACCTTCTGTACCTAAACATGTAACCCAAAATCATAAGTATATAAAATAAGACATCTTGACTTTTATAGGTGTGTCATACATAAAGAATATATTATTATTTTCTACCTCAATTTGACATTTTTTAACTTTCACAATGACTTACATTTCTTCGAATACTTTAAAAGTTGCAATAAATTTTCCATGGTGACTCAACTACAGAAANTTAAAACCTATAGTACCTCAAAAATCAAGTACTATTGTGCGATAATAATATTCAGATTTGAACAGTAGGAGGTGAGAGCAAGGGAGGAGAAGTATTTACAAAGATGAAAAAGTAGAAAGGGAACAAGAACTAGTTCAAGATACAGAGAGTGGAGCCTCGCAAATCCATAACTACTCCAGCAGTTAACTAAGAGGACAAATCATATTATTTTTGCCTAGTTCTTTACTAATTCACTTAAATCTTACCATGTATATTTCTCAAAAAAAGGGTAAATTATTCAGTGAAGATTCCATCTCAGATCATGGCTACCACATCTGAGGATCACCCTGTTACATTTAAAGGTACTGAAATTAATGACATTTATAAGTTACTCTGCTGATTTGTAGAACCGGAATTCTCAGTTGTCTTTTTGACATCTTGCTCAGCAGGCAGTTTTATAAGTTTAATACTATGTAGGAAAGGGGTTATATCTCACTAGAACCAAAAAGCGCAATAAGCCAAAATGTGCCAAGGAAAAAAAATGTGAAGGTAATGACTGATTTCTACTGAATCAAATAATTTTTATAACCCTTCTAATAATGATTAATGTCTACTTAAGCTTTTTTTAAAAATTACTTAAGACATAAGTTCCCATTTCAGTTAAAGTAATATTCTGGCAAATATTGCTCATTATGGGAAGAATAAAGAGATATGTAAAGGTGAAAAACCTAAAGAAGAATACATTAATTTGATGCAGCACTGGTATAAAACTACGATAAAAAGTATAAAACGTAATTGAATAAACAACGTTGGGCGAAAAAAAATGTGGGTTAAAAAAGAAACATAATGTAGCTAAGAACACACTCGATAATTCTGTCTGTAATAAAATCTACTGTAAATATTCTCAAGTTCAAGCGAAACATGCATTTACTTCTAGTCTGAAGTCACGTTAATGTGCCTGGACTGTTAACTTCTTAAATCTTCTGTGCCGAAGACCTGAATGGCATACTGTCTATATGAAATCTTAATTATTCTGCTGTGATGTTTCTATATGTCTCTGAGCTTTCGTAGAACTCTAATGACTTGCAATAACATTTATTAAGAAAGAATTCTAAATTATTCTCCTTTTGCAATATTAATTTGTATGAACTACAAAGGCTGGCTATTAGATGAACTTCAATACTATTAAAATATCAGCAATAACCCCTAAATCTGTAAGCTAAAAGTTCAAGCAATGACCTTTAAAAGAAAGATAAATAGATATCAATTTTCATTTAGCAAAGCCAACAAAACATTTTGCACTGACTGAAACAGATTACTGACCTTCTCCTCTGACTTTATTAAAAAGCTAATTTCTATAA